CCCGCGGGCCCTCTGGTGGTTTCCTTTGTGTCCGCCCCGCGTCCCGCGGAGCTTCCGGCCTCTCGCCGCGGGGCCGCCCCTGTTCCCGTCCCCGCGGACTGCGGCGGCGCAGGCCGGCCGCTTTGTTCCGCCCGCGCGGCGCGCAGGGGTGCCGCCGCGCCCGGCTCTGCAGGGCCCTGGGCCCTCGGGCCTTCGCGGGCCTGTGCGTCTGCGGGAGGGTTCCGTGGCGCTGCGGGTCTTCTGACAGCTCGTGGGTGTGCCCTGGGGTTTCCGTAGCACCGGAGCTGTTGGGGTGAAGGCATTTTCATCGTGTGGTATTTCTTTTTCTACGTGTAAAGGCACCTAGAGAATAGCAGATTTGGGGACGTATTACAGCCCAAGATAGAAGTCAGCTACCGCCTGTCATGTAGCTAGCGTTCTAAATTCAGCTAAAAATCTTGACTTTCTGGCCCCCGCTGTTATCCTTCAACATGACAGGTCAAACTCGCTTGTTTCCTTTAATTAAGAAGACGTGTGTTGGCTCCAGCGTGCTTCAAGGCCGTCAGGTTTGGGGGCGACTGGCCCAGTCCCAGGGACACGCTTGCGCTTGACTCTGCTTGCCCTCTCGCACGCCTTCATCTCCTCCCCGGGATGCCCCTACACAATTCTTCCTGACAGTGTGCGACATAATTCTTGTATGCCACGTACCCAATCATATAATAGTCTGCTATCAGCTTTTTACTTCTCGTTTGCAAGCCTTATTTAAACTGAACCGAAATCTGGCTCGATGGGTGATTTGAAACCCCGTTTTCCTTCCGTCCGCTGGTGTTACAATGGAAGAGCCTTCCTTAGGCTGTTCGCAGCGTAGGGGCCACGGGTAGCCTTGGCTTATAGGGTAGCCCCTTCCTCCGAAGAATAGTGGCAGAGCAGTTACTATGAAGACATCTGGAGCTTATGGCGAGTTATTTGGATAATTATTGGATAAATAATAACTAGTTATCAGTAAACCAATCATTTTTCTCAAACCTGTGATTTCTAAATTTCACCTTCCAAACAGTTGTATTTTTGACTTAACGCATTTATAACATATACATTAATCAAGACGCTGATTGTTTCAACACTCCACCTCTTTTCAGAAAGGTTTTGGTATGGTGAAGTTGTGTGTGGGAATTGTTCCCCAGCCAGCTTGTGCTCTTGACTGGATTGTGTTTTCTGGAGTTCAGCATAGAATCCTATTTTTATCTCAAGAAGATACTAAGAAATTCGAATTGAATCTGTTGACTTTTCTATACAAAGGAAGCATAGTGCAATAAAAAATATTAGAAATCAGTGCATGATTATCATCTGGCTGTTTTCCTCAATTTTTGGTAGGATGTTTTATAACTTTATAAAGTCAGATTTTGTCTGATTATTAAATGGGCATAGTGTAGTTATTTGTGGATAGTACAAGGTTTAGAGGGTCTTCTGAGCTCTGACCAGAACCAGTGTTGCAGCTCTACTTTTTTCAGCTCGCGTCTCCGAACCTTTCCTAACTTTCCCTTCCCAAGAGCCAGTTCCAAAGGTTCTTGAGCCACACGGATAGGTCATGTCACAGCAGCTTCACTTGCGGTACCAGATTCTGTCTTGGTTTATGTTTCTTGGTGCTGAGACAAAATACTTGATGCCCAAAGTTAAAGGAAGAGCGATTTATTTGGCTCACAGTTTGTATAGGTTTCAGTCCATGGTCAGCTGACTGGAAGACAAGGTGTCAGGGCAGATGAGAATCACGAAGGAGAGACAGCCCAAGGTAGCCAGAAGGTAGCAAAGCAAGGAAGGGACCTTACCAGTGTCTTCTGACATTTTTATATTTTATGTAGGCAACTGGGGTGAAGGCAGTGTCAGGCCAACTTGTAGAATGATTTAATAATCGCACACCCAGGGGCCGGGGAGATGGCTCAGTGGAATAAGTGCTTCCCTGGCAAGCGCAAGGGCCTGAGTTCAATCCCGGGTTCCACCAAAAAAGTAAAATAAAGTAATCCCACACCCTAATCCCAGCATCACATGTTCCAGATCAGCCAACTCTGAGAAAGCTCCACCTATGACAAGTTATCATTCTTAAACTTCATGTTGTCACTTAATTGACCACATTGTGTCATCTAGTAGATTTTTCAAAGAGAATTTTTGAGTGCTTGAGGTTTTGTATTTAAAAATGACTGGTAAGAATTTGAGGCCGGGCATCCCTCTCTCAGCATACATGTGCAGGTCACTCATCACACACACACCTTGAATATTTTAGTTTGTATTTGTCTTTGACATGAATAAGGTATATCTGGGTTTAAATGTTTTACTACTTTTTTCCTTTCTGAAAAAATGATTTTTTTTCTCTGTCTTTTCATCTATATATTTATCTGTGGGTATCTTTAGGAAGAATTTTAAGGATACCTCTTACATCTCATTTTACGTTTTTATTTTCCTTCCAAGTTTGTTTTTCTGTGTTCATTTTTTTTTTTTTTTCTTTTTTCTTTTTTTCTTTTTCCCTGTTTTGGAGACGCAGGTCTATGTAGTTCAGATTGGCCCTGCCCTTATGGCAGTCCTCCTGCCTCAGTGTCCTGAGTGCTGGGAGAATCGTAAGCATGTGCCATCATGCATGACCCCTTTTATTTTTAAAGAAGCTGTAAGTTAAGTACTTTAAACATTCAATGACACAAGAAAAAATTGCCATTCCAGAAGGTACAAACAAGAGAATATAAAGCACTGGGAGCAAAGCAAGTTCAAAATACAGCAGGGAAAAGAGGCGGCCAGATAGCTCAGCGGACTAAAGTGCCTGCTTAGGCGGAATGCAGTGACCAGGGTTTGATTCCAGGTGTGCGCTGCCGGCCTGACCCCAGGGCACGCTGAGATGGCAGTTGAGATGGCATGGTGGTGCATGCCTGCAATCCCAGCACTTAGCTGAAAACAGGAGGATCACTACGAGTCCAATTTATGTAGTGAGACCTTGACACCCTGTAGACAGTATACCAAATACATGAAGAAAAATATAACAGGGCAGATATTAAGTCTTGTATTTCCATGTGGACCATCCAGAAGTGTCTAAGATAAATTGTGAGCTCCAGAAGCCTTATGTGGTCCCAGCCAAGGGGCACTGGTGGGCGTTGTAGCTCCCATAGCTTCTCTGTCCAGCTTTGCTCCCTTGCAGCTTTCCTTAGATAATCTATGTTTCTGGGTTCTCCAAACTGCTCTTGTCTCCATGGCACTCTAGGTTTCACTGACAGCCTTGCATATTGCCTGGCCTCCCAGACCTTCTGAAATCTTAAGGTTAGGAATGTGGAAGCCTTTTTATTAACCTCAGAACTCTTGCATGTGCCTAAACCCAGTGCAGCGTGAATGATGCCAAGGCCCACTGCCAGCTCGAGCAGTAGCTAGGTTTTCTTTTTTAGCTGTAGGGATCAAGTACCTAGAGTGCTCAGCACTCTAACCCTGATTTTGAGCAACAAATTCTCTATAATGCTGCCACTCTAGAATCTGGTATGGCTGCCACAGCCATTCTAGAATGTAGCACTCTGTGGCTTTCTCTTCACAGTGAAGTCTTCACTTTGCAGTTTTGAGGCTGCAAAGGGTGGAGATTGCTGCTGCTTGTGATGCCCTCAGGCCAGCTTTTCTGTTCTGTTCCTTTTTAAATTATTTTTATTCTTGTGATACCAGGGATCGAACTCAGGACCTTGTGCTTGCCAGGCAGGTGCTTATGCCACAGACCTATATCCCCAGCCCTAGTTCTGTTCCTTGGCACAAGAGATCTCAGCTCTATCCTTGCATAGTGGAGCTTCATTTCTGGCCAGACTCTCATTTTAAATCATCCTGCTGTGCTCTTTGCTCTTGATTATCAATAGAAATCTGACTAAGAGCCCAGCAATAGTATGGCACAGCTTCACCATTCTACTGCCTTGAAATTTTTCTGCCAGAGTAATCATTCTTCCCCTTCCCCCTTTACTCTTGGTCTTAGGCAGTCTCTGGACATGAGCAAAATGCTGCATAGCCATAACACATTGTCTGGAGTCCAGAAGCCAATGCAGTTCTTCTCAGAAACCTCCCCAGCCTGGTCTTTACAGGCAGGATTTCTATCTGCCTTCTGTTCTCTTATACAGAAGAGCCAAAGGTGCTCCACCACTTTTCCATTTGGCAACATTGCCAGACCTTTCCTATCTTTTCCTGTAAGCCATTCCCATAGGCTCTTGAACCACATGGTCAGGTGTATAGTCACAGCATTGACCTCATTTCTCCAAACCAAATTCTGTCTCAGTTGCTTTTCTGTCTTAGCTGGAACAAAATACCTGACACCCAGAATAAAGGAAGGAAAGGTTTATTTAGCTCATAGTTACTGGAGATTTTCGGTCCATATTCAGCTGGCTCCAAGGCAGAGTGGCACATGGCAAAGGGCAGCAGTTCATGGTGGCGCAAAACAGCAAGAGCAAAAAGTCAGGAGCAGAGGCAGAGGGCAAGCCTCTCTCCTTTATACTGCATCCGGGCTACTTGTCCAGGGCGGGTGTAGCACTCCCATAATCCAAGTATTGGATCAGGAATTAATCACAAAGTCTAGAAGTCTGCCTCATGACTGTGTGAGGTTTTGGGGGACAACTAGAGACAAACCATACTAGTAGGTAAGACCTGTGACCACTGTATATATAAAAGTCTTCACTCAGAAGTTCCGCTGTCTCACCTGGGGCCCACTTTCAGTCCTTTGGGTATTTTCTAGAGTATGATAAAGATGATATAGCGCTTGTAGTTTAGAAGTCTGGAATCTCTTACTTAGTATAGGATTCATTTATGTTGCTGTGTGTATTAGTTAAATTTCTATCG